CTCTCCTATCATCTGTCTTTCATTTGGCTCATTAAATTACATATAATCTAGATTTCTCATGTAAAAGAAGCCGTGCAGTATTTAAGCTTCTGTGTCTGATTTGTTTAGCGTAACATTATGGACTCAAGGTATATCCATTTTCCTACAAATGACTGGAGTTTATCATTTGTGGCAGTCTAATACTCATTGTGTATAAATACCACAGTACCCATTCATCTGTTGATGTACATACAATACAGGCTGCTTCCAAGATTTACCTATTATAAGATGTGCTGCATTTTGAGCAGGATTAATGGCAATGTGTCATTTCCTGTAATTTAAAAAAATTTAAACATCGTATTTTTCAATCTGCCCTTGTACATGAACATTTTTGACGTGTACCCGAACAGATACTATAGTTAGTACACACTATACTAACTTCTTAAGAAACAAAAGAAACAGTAATCACTTTTGTATGTTTTTTTAAAATTAGAACATGTTTAGGGCACACAGTGTTCACATTCCTTGTGTGGAGCTGGTATGTGTACATGACACATCCTAACTCCTTTTTTCATCGCCTTTCCCTCCGATCCCACCCCATCTCCTCTCTCCTCGTTGGAGGAAGAGCTGTCTCCCTACTTGCTAGTATTTATCTTTTATTTCGCCCTTTATTTATAATTCAGGTTTCTCATATAAGAGGAATCGTGCAATATTTAAGCTTTGTGTGCCTGATTTATGTCACTTAACAGTATGGTCTCAGTGCATCCATTTTCCTACCGATGACTCGAGTTTCTCTTTCTTTATGGAAGAGTAGGCTGTTGACAGCCTTTAGTCCTCATCAGCAACACAGATTTGGTCACTGGATGGACTAGACACGGCTTCTAGACCTTCACTTAACTCTTCAGATTTTATTATGCTTAATCTCTTTCTCCTGACTTCTCAGCACCCTTACAGATACTGGAAACTTCTTCCAATTTTCTGCCTTCTTTGGAAGTAGCAAGTTTTTCAAGAGATTCTATTACTTCATTCCTCAACTCATCTTCAGATTCTTCAAAATTCCTGAAATCATAAGTAGTACAAATCAGTGTTAGGAGCACTAAAATGACAATCACCTTCCCTTTCTGTTCTCCACCTGTTTTGAGGAGTGGAGCAGTATGAAAGCTGTGTTTTAACTTGGGTAATAAATTATTTATTATACCAGTCTGGCTTTTCTAACAGTGATTACTAATGCTGGGAGGCTCTGTTCCCTGGTTAGTTGGACTTGTGTTCAACAGCCTTTATTGTATGTATTTATTTGTATCCACCTACACTTAATGATTAAGAAGAGGAGGTGAGAGAGAGTAAAACAGAAAATTGCTGCCACATGTGAAGCCCTAACTATATGCCAATCAGTGTCCTAGGCGCTTTCACTCTTCTATTTCATTTAATACTAATAATAGCGCAAGGCAGACATCATCGGATTGTAGGAAGAAACTGAGGTTCATGAGAGGTAAAAAACAAAATCTGTTCAAGGTCTCATAGGTGCTAAGGCTGTGTGCTGCACAATGATATTCCCATCAGTTTTGGACACATATGATAGTGGAATTACAAGATCACAATGCAGCTGCAATATTCCTGTTGCCTAGCAATGACACAGTCATTTAGGGTTGAGGGACAACGCATCAACTCAGGTTTTTGTGCTGATTCCAGTGTAAACAAACCTACTGCGCTGCCAGTCATGTAACAGCACACCCGATACCGGATAAAGATAACAGACTGTGTTACTGGTTTGTGTATTTACTGTACTACACTTTACCATTATTTTAGCATGTGCTCCTACTTATAATTTACTGTAAGCTGGGAGTGGTGGTGCACTGTAGCACTCCAGGAGGCTGAAGCAGGAAGACCATACATTCAAGTCAAACCTGGGCCATGCAGTGAGAACCTGTCTCAAAATTAAAAAAAAAAAAAAAAAAAAAATTCAGGGGCTGGGTATGTAGCTCCGTGCAAAGGTCCTGGGTTCAATCCCAATGACACCCAAAAGTGTACTGTAAAACGTGTATCATGTCACCACAGCAGCGGCCGCACACCTTGTGCTGCTGCATCTCCTGACTGCAGCAAGGGGCCGCACTGGATGACGGGCCCACAGTCTAGGCCTGTGTACGTGCAGTGCACTCTGTTACTCTCACTCAGCGATGAAATCACCTGCCAGTGCACTTCTCAGCGTCTGTTCCATCATTAAGTGATACATGACTATACATCATTAGCAGAACCAGGAAATGGAATTGTCTAAGACTGCGGCGTTGATATTGTAAAAAGAAAAGCTCCAGGAGACCAAGCAAATAATCTCAAAGATCTCCAGAAGTTAAGCAGCTGGTGAAGGAGACCGGGAGAGAGCTGGGAAGAGCCAGGAATGTGCAGGTAGCGGAAGCCAAAGGAGGAGCTGGATGAGATGAAGGTGAGAGGTGATGGCCTGCCCTGGCACTCTAAGTGACAAAGAGCTTTTTTTTATTTTTTGAGACTACATCTCACTATGTAGTTCCACCTGGCCTTGAACTCACTATGTAGCCCAGGCTGACCTTGAGCTTGCGGCAATCTTCCTGCCTCAGCCTCCTGATTGCTGGGATTAGAGGTTTGCACTATGTGCAGGAATGTCTTGGAGGAGGGCAGGTGGCAGGTGCCCACCTACAGCACAGTGAGAAGTGAACAGAGGTAAGAGGATGCGGGCACTGAGCTCCGGCTCCTGTCTCGGGGAGCCAGGCTCTGACAGTGGCAGTGTTATCCAGACAACACTTGCACAACGGTGTTTGGGTTTTTAAGATGGAAGAGATGGGCATGTTTATATGCAGAGGGAAATGAGGGACAGGCTGAGCATCCCCAACTTGGAAATCTGAGATCATTTGGGTCCCAAGTATTTCAGATAAGGGCCACCCAGTCTGTCCTAGGAAGAGACACACCCAAGACACAGGAACAACTACTAGAAACAAGAAGGAAGAGCTGGAGATGTAACGGACCCGTGGAAAGGTGGGCTTTTGGCCAGTGGAGATGCTTTCTCTTCAGAAGACGAAGATGGGAAGGAAGACAGGGAGGGGCGCATGTGGATGCAGAGAAGCTGCGGACAGCTGCTAGGACCTGAGTGACTCCACTGCGAGCCACGTGCAATCTCTGTGAAAAAGAGGCCGGTCCCATGGTGAAATCAAAGTGGAAGGTGTAGGCGTGCAAGAGGGGTGTGCAAGAGCACCACGGGGAAGGGGCTGACCAACACAGCGTTGCAGGGCAGTGCAGGGTCCCCTGAAATCGGAGACCATGAACTTGGGATGGACAGGTTGAGTTCAGCTCTCATTTCTGCAGTTAAGATTCCTGTGTGATGTGCTTTACACAAGATCTTCCCTCTGTCTGCGTGTCCAGGTAGGAATTTGTTTGCATTGCTGCCGCCTATTATTTTATTTCTCATACAGGTGATTCATGGTACTTAATAATTGTACAAAGCTAGGCTGGAGGCGCAGCTCCATGGCAGACCTCTTGCCTGGCATGTGCAAGGCCCTGGGTCAATCCCCAGCACTTCAAAAATAAAATAATAAAGTTCACAGCTTTTTAATTTCTTTGAATATTTCATTTGCCTTATTCTTCTGGAACTCTTTACATGGATATTGGACTTCTTCCTCCTCTTTCACATTTTCCTGTATTTTTTCTCAGATCTTCCAGTTACTAGTTTCCTAATTATTCTGGTTTCTGTTTTTAGTTTTGGGCTTTTTTTCTTTTTGTTGGTTCTGGGTATTGAACTCAGGCCCTTCACAATGAGCTATATCCCCAGCCCTATTTTTATTTTGAGACAGGGTCTCACTAAGTCACTAAACTGCACAAGCTGGGCTTGAACTTGCACTCCTCCTGCCTCAGCCTCCTGAATACTAAGATTACAGGCTACATTCTATTAGCAGATTTTTCCAACTTCCAAAAGTTTTAGTTAATTATAAAAATCTCTGCTGAGGTCTGAATGTTTGTGTTACCTCAAAATCAGAACCCTGATACTGATGGCCAATGTATTCAGAGGTGGGGCCTTGGGGGAGTAACTAGGTCACAAAGGAAAGGCCCTGATGAACAGGATTACAGCTCTTAGAAGCCTAAGGGAGCCTGCTTACCTTCCACCATATGAGGGCACAGCTAGAAGATGCCACCGCCAGACACACCGGCACTGGAACTGCTGACACTGAGAACTTGGCTTTCTTGCCTGTGCAGCTGTCAGTGAACTTCTGCTTATAAGTTACCCGGTCTTGGATGTTACAACAGCCCAAACACACGAGATTGTCTGCCTACTCTAGTGAGGGACTGCTTCTCTCTCTGTCTCTCGAACTGTCTCACTCTCACTCTGGTTCTCGCTCTCCCTCACTCTCTCTCTTCTTTTTGGTGCAGGGGACTCAACTCCAGGTGTTCAGGTATGCTAAGCAGGTGCTCTGCCACTGAGCTACATCCTAGGCCCTTAATTATTTTAATTAAATAATTTTAACTATATGATAGTATAGTCTTCAAAAGACAATTACATTGTCTCAAGTTCTTCCTGGTCTAATTTAGCCATTTGTTGTGCTGCTGTCTCAATATAGATTCTGTGTTTTGAGAGGTTTGGTTGTTTGTTTTTGAGACAAGAGTCTTGATATTTGACCCAGACTCCCACCTCGGTCTCCCTGAGTACTTGGAAATACAGAGATGTGCACCATGCCCGGCCATGTTTTTTGTTTTTGAGGCAGAGACTTGCCTGACTACATTCTGTTTGTTTGTTTATTGATACAGAGACTTACTAAGTTGCTAATTACCCATCCTGGGTTTGAACTTGAGATCCTGCCTCAGCCTCCCAGAGTGCTAGGATTATAGTTGTGTGCCACCATGTTCAGCTAGATTGTGTTTCTAAATTTTCAATTGTGGGCTTTTCTTTAACTGAAAGATAACAAGGTGTATAGCTCCAGAATGTTTTATATTTACTTCTTCTACAGCTCCTAGAAGTATTACTGTCCCTTAATGTTAATTTTAATACTAATTTCTTGATGTAGATGTTTCCAGACCATCAGACTGTTATAATTCAAGCTCCAAATGCAACTGAAATATAATCCATGGCTACAAATCATTGAGAACTTTTCCTCTGAGAAATTGGCCCAAAATAGGCAAGCATCATTACTGAGCTTCCTAGAGCACCCTGTATCCAGCTAGCAAGAATGGAGGGGCCAGTGGAGAAGACGAGAATACTCAAGGTGTGTAGGAGGCGCACAGGGAAAGGAAGAGAAGGAAGAAAAGCAGTGTAAACGGAGTCTCCAACACAAAATAAACGCATGAATAAGTCTAATGGTAAGAGAGGTCGGCACATTTGTTTTTTCAGTGCTGGGGATTGAACCCAGGGCCTTGTGCACGCTTGGCAAGTGCTTTAAAGCACTGAGCTATATTCCCACCTCCCAATTTCTTTTCTAAAAAAGACAGTGAGAGTGACTGTGGCAATGCACATCTTTTTTTTTTTTTTTAAATTTTTTATTTTTTGGTTTTTCTCCGGTACCGGGAACCGAACTCACGACCTTGCACTTGCCAGGCAGGCGCTTTGCCGCTGAGCTAAATCCCCAGCCCCGGCAATGCACATCTATAATTCCTGTATTTGGGGGGCTGAGGCTGGAGGATCACCAGCCTCAGCTACATACTGAGTTTAAGACCAGCCTGAACTGCATAGGAGCCTCTGTCTCAAAAATGCAAAACTAAAAAGACAACGAATTGAGATGAGGATTCTGATAAATTCTCTTAAAGTTAATATGCTCAGAGGGATAAATCAGTGCGTAGCACCCATTTAAAAACTATTGAGGGGGCTGGGACGTGGCTCAGTGGTGTAACACTTGCCTAGTATGAGCAAGGCCTTAGTTTTATTCTCAGTACTGCCAAAACCATTTTTAGTTATAGGAAATAATTAAACACTAACAAGAACATATGACAAAAAGAATACATGAATATAAGAAAAACAATTATCTTGGGTATAAAATACACAATCATTTAAATTTAAAACTCTGTAGATGATATCCAGATAGTATTAGAAACCATATGCAAAAATTCACCCATAGCATTCACAAGGTCCCTGGTTCAATCCAGGAAGGAAAGAATGGAGGGAGGGAAGGAGGGAGGGAGGGAGGGAGGGAAAGAGGGAGAGAGAGAAGGGAGGGGAGGAGAGGAAATTACCAAAAATAATTTGAAAGGAAAATGTTTGCACCAGGTATGGTGATATGCTTATGGGACTACAATCCCAGCTACTAGAGAAGCTGAGATAGGAGAATCACTTGAGCTCAGAAGGCCAACACCAGCCCAGACCCTTCCTCAAAACAAAGCAAAAACCTAACCAGATGGAGAGCTATACCATATTCCTGATTAAGATTCATGACCACCATCAGTGAATGAATGGATATAGGAAATGCGTACGTACATTCAACAGAATACTGCTCAGCCTTGAAACATCTGTGGTGTCATGGGTGGGTCCAGAGGAAACTGACAGCTGGAAGAGCTGGGCACAGAAAGACATGGTGTCCCTTACATGTGGACTCTAGACGCTACAGCTACAGAAGCTCCCGGGGGCTGGGGAGCAGGTCAGGAACCTGGGAGACACTACAGCCGCTGTGAGACTGCAGTTAGACAGGAGGGACGAGTTCCACAGGTAATCACAGATCTCTGCATCTGTGCAACGTGGGCACTAGAGTTCATAGCAGTATATATACAGTGTACTTGAAAATTGCTAAAAGAGCAGAGTTTTAAGTGTTCTCACCATAAATAAAAAATAAGTATGTGAGGTAATGCATATATTAATTAACCTGATTTAGTCATTCCCCAATGGATACGTATTTCCAAGCATCGTGTTATACACCATAAATATATACAATTTTGTCAACTAAAACTAATTATTTTAAAGAATCATCATCACAGCAGGTGTGTGGTGCACGCCTGTAATCCCAGCATCCTGGGAGGCTGAAGAAGAAAGATTGCAAGTCCAAGCCCAGATTGTACAATTTGGCAAGACTGTGTCTCAAAAAATTTTAAAAGGCTGAAGATTTAGCTCCGCTCAGTATGAAAGGCCTGGGTTCAGTTCCCAGCACACAACCCCCCCCCACACACACACACACACTAAGATGTCGGTTTCCATTACTTAATCAACAAACGCAATGTCATTGCCATCAGAATCCCAACAAAGTTTCTCATGACCCTATGAATGCAAAGATGTACTGTGCTGAGTAAAATGCAGTAACAGCTAAGATCATTTTGAAGGGAAGGGAATGGCATGAAGACCAGAAGCTATAGCATCCAGGCATCAAATGATATGACAGTGCCGATAGTTATTAAGATGGAATATTGGCTGGGTGTGGTGAGGCACAGCTGCAGTCCCAGCACTTGGGAGGCCAAGGCAGAAGAATCATGAGCTCAGGGCCAACCTGGTCTACACTGCAAGACCTTGTCCAAAAGACAAAGAAAAAAAAGGGAAGGGAAAGAAGGAAAGATTACCAAGGCAAATATAAAAAGTAATGAGGCTGGAGAAAATGGAGAGCCCAGAACAAATCCATGCATATAGTAAAACTTGGTCTCCGAAGCTGGGTGCAGCGGCATACAAGCGTGGTCCCAGCTACTCAGATGGCTGAGGCAGGAGGATCACCAGAGCCCAGGAGTCCCGGGCCAGCCTGGCAACATAGTAAGACTGTGTATCTTAAAAAGAAGAAAAGAAAGAAAAAGGAACTTTTGGTCTCCGTAACTCCCTCTCTGTTGGCTATCTTCTGTCTCAGCCAGAGCATTTTCACTATTTTCACCTATGTTCAATGGAGGCATCTGCATATGACCTACTTACGTATCATCACTGTCAGATGCTGGTTCCCGCAGTTCCTCGTCTACTTCAGTGCAGGAAGCCATTTCTACCTTCCCCACATCTTCTTTAGGAAGCCACTGCTTTAATGTTCCTGTTGTTAAAGGAATGACGGTGAGAGTGAAGCAGCGCAGCCTATACACTTGATGACCATATGTACCAAAAACCCTGTAGTCAATGCCAACCATGATGGTAAAACCTACTAATCATCTCACTGAAACAGAGTAAGGCAGGGGTGACAATGGACCCCCAGTTATTCAGTGTGCTGAATTCAATAGGCAGTGCCCCTACTTGTGGGATGCATGCTTCAATTGGATAGAAAATTTAAGAAAAGCATGTGTGTGAAAACTTAAGCATTGCCAAAGTGGACCGCCCTTGTTCTCCCATTTCTGTAAACTGAATGTCCAGCTTATGGTTGGGCTCAATCACTATTATCAGGTTTCTGGAAAAAGCAAAAGCTTTATTGGGTGGCCAATGGGAAAGGAGACCAGGAGCTACAAGCTCAAGTCTGCACCCACAATCAGCAGAAGACTTAACAGGAAGAGGGCAGGCCTGCTTCTGCACAAGTCACTGGCATCTTTTGGGGAACAGTTATGTCCTGTACAGGGGATCATGAGCTTGTGGTGTCACTGAGCAGATGACCTGGCCTCCGCTCAAGTTCTGTTTGAAAATCTGGTCCCAAGCCATACCTGAAGGTTTTTCCTGGAAGATAAGGAATTTATGTCCAGTGTGTCCAGGCCTTACCTAATTTCACCATCTCGAAATATGATGCATTGGTATACAATTATTATCACTTGATGAACTGTAACTTCAGAGAGGGGAATCTGGTCTGTCTTTCCTCAGTACAGTAAAACCGTAGATTAAGAGTAACCTGTTCTTTTGTTAGATTAAGAGTAACCTAAGGGTTCTACAGGACAAACATTTCCAGTGTTTGGTAAACTTGATAAACCAGTGATGTCACACAATGAGTAGTATGTGATGCCAGATGTCATGTGATCACAGCTGAGCCAATGGTCCTCTCTCCCTGCAGGACTGAGGGTGATCATCTCCCACCAGCAGGCGGTTATGGAGCAGAGGAGGAGAAACAGGTGGAGTAAACCCTCATTTTGGATGAGATGAGGGAGATGTGTAAAATATGGAAAATGATGCAAAATTTGGTGAAAAGAAAAAAATGCACCACCTGAACAAGGCTGTAGTGGTGGGAGTGGTGAATCTGTTTAACAACAGTGCAATGTCACATTTCCACGAAATCCTCAAAAGGAGGCAAAAGCAAGTGTCACTGGCTGGGTTCCTTGTTAAAGCTGCACGAAAAGAAAAAGATTCCAGTGGGCCCATAGACAGCGGTGATTCTGTTAGTGACAGTGACTCATCCTCCTCTCTCCTGTCCGCCTCACGCCAGCAACCAAGGTTTTCAAAGGAAGTGAAGGTTAATTTTTTCTATATATTTTTTATTTTCTTTACTATTTTGTATCACAGTACTCTAATCATTTTTATATGAATATTTTTGGGTTGGAGAACAAATCATCTGAGTTTCCTTTATTTCTTATGGGGAAGTTGGCTTTTATATGCAAGTGCTTTGGATTACAAGCATATTTCTAGAATGAATTATGCTCGCAAACCAGGGTTCTTGCTATATACTATGTATTCCAGTGACTAGCTGTCAGAAATAGACTTGACTCTCTGACTCTCTAAGGGAGAGCTAAGTAGCTAAGTTTCTAGATCATGACCTATGAGTCATTCGTCCTTTTCAGCAGTTGTCAATTGGTTATATCAAAGGAAATGACGCCACTGACCTTGGAAGTTCATGTCACTTGTTAATGGCATTTGGAACAGATTTAGACAAATCAAATCAGGTTCTGAAAAGCTTAGACACCTTCTTCAGGCTGAAGGTGTTGCTACGCCTTTTCTGCATTCACAAATCTTTTGACAAAATTCCTCAGAGTACTGAGGTTTACGGGCATGTCAAAAATAAACTACAGCCAGGCATGGTGGCACACACCACCATGAACAATCCCAGTACTCAGGAGGCTGAGGCAGGAGGATCATCATGAGTTTGAGGCCAGCCTGGACTACATAGTGAGACTCTGTCTCAGAAATAACAACAACAACAAACTACACACCGAGATCTCCTTCACTGGAAGAAAAAGAGCTGCTTGTTAGATGTGCTGCTGCCAAAATGCTCAATAAAGTTCTTGGCGCTTCATGCCACCACCGCTTCCTACTTTCTGGGACAGCTTCCAGCACAAGAACTTGGCCATCTGCAGAGGAAACGGTGTTACCAGAGACAGGGTGCCTCTTCATTTCAGTTCATATAAAATCCAGAGTGTTAACACCTTGGAGATCATTCCACCTCTGATTTTATTAATGAGGAGACTAAAGTACAGAAACGTTTGCTTTACTTCCTGTCCCACAGCTGATGGGAAGAAGAGTCATGTTTTGCCTTTATACGGACTTTTTTGTGGTGATAAAATTTCTGTTCTATTTGCTTAAGTTGGGTTTCCCTTCACTTGTTCTTTTTTTTTTTTTACTTTAAAGAGAAAAGAACAAAAACAAAACAACAAAAACAGAAATGATACAGCATTTCTAAACAAGATGATAGGAAATTAGCAATGGTTGTTGTATTACTTATTGTCATCTTCAAAGTAGTTGCTCAGAATACCAGATATAGGTATACAGATTGATCAAGCAAACATTAACTGCTCCTTTCAATTAACCAATATAA